CTACTCCAAAACCAATAAGAGATGGTGTTTCTTCAAAGAGATTCAAATATCTTACTTATTATAAGACGCAGATTGTGTGTGTGTGTGTGCGTGTGTGTGTGTGTGTGTGTGTACGTTTATATTTTGGATCGGATTTCCTACATTTTTTCAACCAATTTCAACAAAACTTCACAGGACTGCGTAAAATTACCTTGCGGTGGTTCTGACAGTGCCAAAAATTTGAAAAAAACACAATTGTTTTTGTACAAAATTAATTTGAAAACACAATAAAACACGATTCTGTCGCCAGAATGAAAGGGGGACAACTCATATCGAGTTACACTTATTATAAAACCCAGGTTGTTTGTTTGTGTGTGTGTGTGTGTGTGTTCATTTATATATGGGATCGGATTTCCTACATTTTTCAACCGATTTCAACAAAACTTCACTTTTTTTTGGCAGGTAGTGTTTCTTATTGTCTTGCACACTTTTTTCTTTATTTTTACATTCAGAATGCTTTAAAAATTCCATTTATAAGACAATTGTTTATAATAAAATTCTATTCAATCAATAGACTTATAACGATTGAAAACAATGTTTTTGTTTGAGTTTGGGTTTGACCAATTCGTAAAAAAAACAAAAAAAAAAACTAATTGAGACATGCATGTCCGTCAACCTTAAACAATAATCTTTGTCAATTTTATTTTTCAGTCTTTATGATGGTCGATACTTGATCTATCTCTTACTGTTACATCCCCGGGCAACGCCGGGCTCTACTGCTAGTTATTACTAAAAAGAAACTGATTCTAAATTTTCATTCAAAAAGAGAAAAATATTTCTATCAATATTCTGCCATTTTGGCAACAAAATTCTCATATTCATTGTGCAATCTATCAAGGTCATAGAGGTCATCATTATTACACAATCCCTGCTGAGTTTTAATTTGGAAGATTATTCCATCCATTAGATATCATACTGTCATTATGAACTACATGATCCTTTAGTTGCTTGAATAGTATGTGCCTTACCAGGACTACATATGATTTTGAATTCAGAGTTTTTCCTTCTTCTAGACTGGTTACCAAACTCAGCTAGAGAGCTTAGTCTACCCTACTATTTAACCAAAAATTAAGAGATGGTTTTGTTCTTTTCCTGAAAATATTTTTGCAGAAGTGAATTTAGCGAACTCGACCTCTTGATTACTTCTCTGGTGAGTTCAAAATCACTTGGTGTTCCCACATTTGTGGTGACGAGTTGTTTTTAACCCCCAACCCCTTTCCCCCACAGATGAAAAGTTGTTGCTAGCCTCTCGTTACTCTATTACTATTTTCATGGCAGATGCAATGGCAAACTACATTCTTTGGTTCAACCAGTTCAAGCCATAACAGCTAGGATCTGCTACATAGGATACAGAGTTGACTCATTTCCTTCATAGTTTATTGGTAAGGAGGAAGTTTTATATGCATCTTATTCCCATAACTATTTAATTGTGGAAGAGTCTCCCGAGAGGATGCTTCCCCAATCACTATAATCAACTTCTTCAACTCTATGGTCAATCATTATCTATCCTACATAGCCTCATGATATGCACCACTTGCTCACTTCTAGTATACCCTTAGAACAACCTTATTTATTAATTCTCTACTTTGAGTGGATCTTGGGTCTTGTATTGGTTGAACAATAAAAAAATACCTGTCACTCTGTGCCAGAAAAATACCTGTTATAGATCAATGGAGATCAGAAAAAATAAATGGCTTAGGTAATTGCATAATTACAACTTTAACAAAACGGGTTGATGTGTCAAATATGTAGTTCTCATATCAGTTGTAGGAAAAAAGTAATAAAAGAAAAATGGTAAGGTATGCTTTGTTTTGGTAGGAAAAATGTCATTGGAAGAAAAATCATAACTTTAGCCTCAGGTAGGAAGAATAAAAATTAATTTTAAAAAGAATTTTTAAAATAAAATAGATACTATTCATTTAGTATAAAAGTCATGTTTAAGAAAAATAGTAATGAGTGAAAGTGGATGTGTCTTATGGTGTAATGGATATCGGCTTGGAGTGAGAACTTGGAGTTCAACTTCTAGCTAAGTTTATTAGATACTCTTGGGAAAGGCATGAATCCATCTCTTCTCCTTCAGCCAAAGGTTGAATAGCAGGATAGACTAGACTGTGTTCTTTATCCTTGGTTGGCAACCAGTCTACCACAGAAAGAAATGCCAACCTACTGTGGGAAAAAAATTGTCTCATCAGTTATGTATTGAAAGATACATGATCACCCAAGTGTAACAGAGAGAGGTTGACGCACATGAATGCACACACGCAAATATAACGTTTATTGGTTGAAGATGGAAAACATGATCTTCCGTGAAAGTTACAAACTGTGTCAGCGCTATTAATAGGAAAGAATCCAGAACAATGATATATGAAACCTGAGACGGCTGATGGATAAAGAATAAATTACAAATCTGCTTGACGAGGACTTGTTTTTAAACAAATGCAAAAGGGCAGGAGGTGATGTTTAATTTGGGTCATTAAAAAAAAAATAGACGAAAATAATATTTTTGATAAAAGCATATTGAAGTAAATTGGACTGGGGAGGTAAGATCAGTGTATGTTTACCGCTAGCGAAATCTGATCTAAACATAAGTTGTATCTGCTGAATTTGGTCATCGAAAAGACAGTTGAAATGAACATTGAACTAATTAATTTTATCCACTAAGAGATTTGAAATAGATCTGAATTTAAACTTTGCTTATGTTGACACTCGTGTTAAGCGCGTGAACAACCTGTCTTATAACCTTCGGTTTGCTATATAAACGCGAGTTTTGCTGAGTTGGAGAGACTTGGCCGTGACGTTGAGAGAAAGAGACTGTCATTGCAGTGAGTCGGTCCAGTGGCGAGTCAGAGATAAGGACTTCAAGAAATATCATCATCGTTGTAGCAGTCACATTGAAAAGTTGCTGAAACTTAACGTTTGTAACTTACGACAACCAACTGAAAAGCTACACTTCCACGTAGGGCTGAAATTACAAGTCACATATCCTCTCAAGTTGATTTGGAACGAGTTAATCTCACACACACACACACCTCTCTCTGTTGGTATAATTGGTAGAGGAGTGGTCCTCTGTTCTTATGTTAATTGCTTTTCTATCCTTTCTGTAAACTCTTTCTACTGTTGTTGTTTTCTTATATAAAAGACATCAATATTTTACCCATTGTTGTTCGGCTTCTGCAGATATTATTTCCTTGTTTGCCACATTCTAATTTTCCTGCTGCCGACCCTCACAGCCATGCCTACATCCCCAATCGACTGTGAACGTATGGACAACACCCCGCTTACTGGATCTAAAAACTAACACAACGTGGGCAGCAGGCGGAACTTGGCCAGTGACCGGTCGAACAATCTACAGGTACTCAGGGAGCATGCGGCCAGCTACCCCTGAGTTCGGTTCAGACTGAGTGGGCGCCTCAACCCAAAGAGCAAGACGCCAGAGGTTGAGGGGCTGAAGGGACGAATGGTAGACAAGCATGTATCATGTATGGCACTTAACTGACTGAATGAGTGGAAAGACTATATTGAGTCCATTGCTAGGTCAGCTGCTAAGAAAGTTGGTTCACGGTGCTAGACAGTGTTTCATTCCAGAATCTATCTTACTTATAAATCTACCATCTGTCCATGCTCAGAATATTGCTGCCACACATGGTCCGGTGCTCCTGCTATTTATCTAGAGCTCCTTGATAAAATCCAAAGAAAAATCTGCAATATTATTGTTCCTGACCTGATGTCTCAGCTTCAGTAACTTTCCCATTGTTGTAAGGTTGCCTGTCAGTGCTTTTCTATAAATACTTTCATTGTAACTGTTTTGATGAACTCTTTGCTATGGTACCTAGACTTTTTAAAAATTTAAGTGCAGTCCTAGAGTGGTGACGAGGTCTCGCTAATTTACAGTTGAATCAAATAGATGTAACCATAAGTTTTATGCTAACAGTTTCTTTACTTGCACTTCTTGCCTGGAGAACGTCCTTCTGGCTGCATACTTTCCAACCAACTTTGATATCCAAAAATTTAAATGCAATGTCAATCACTATCGGCCTCCTGATTACTCTTTTCTGTTTCCACTCATTATTAATGTTTTTGTTTTGTAATGTTTTTGTGGCATTATTGCCTTGCTTGTGGGGGTGAACTCAATTTAAAAAAAAAAATGTGGTTCTACAGAAGGGTGCTGAAAATGGCATAAACTGAACATGTAAGCAATGATGAAGTCTTAGAGAAAATGAAAACAAAGAGACAATTGAAATTTCTAGAGCACAAATGAAGGCTTAGAAAATTTGACACTGGACATTATTGAAGATGAAAGGGAGAGAGAAAAGCAATAAATAACCCTACATGCAAGTCACCAATCTACCACTGGGTGGCATGCCACTAATGTTTACTGCTGGTGGCCCACTGTCAGACCAGCAGTGTTGTTTGTCTCAGCAATGTTACCACTGGCGGACCACCAAAGGCCCACAAGTGTTGCCATCAGTGGCCCACATATAGGGAAACTACCTAACGTGTTTGTGTAAATGGTTAGCAGAACAGGGATTAGGAGAGATAACAAAACAAACAAACAAAAAAAAATTTACTAAGAGCTACAAAGGACAAAATTGTGGAGAGCCATAATCGGCCACATTCTGAAGACACGACACATAAGATTAAGAATAAAATGAGTAATATTTTAAATAAACTAAAAATTAAATTATTTATTACTTATTTTATCATTATAAATTAAATGACTGATGTAATTAAAATAAAAAGTATCAATTTTTTTATTGAAAAGATTAAATGAAAATATTTTCTTTATGTCTGTTCTACTTTTATCAGAAGATGTAACTTTTTTTACGGTCACTGTCTAAGTAGGTTTCTGTGTCTTATTTATTCTTAATACTGTTAATTTTTGTCCTCCTTTTTTACCTACAGTTTTTTTTTTATTTGATTTCATGTCTAAATAATTTTTGTTTTATTTGTTGGGGGGGCGAATGACGAGGCTGAAAAATGTTTCGTGGCCTACGAATATAACCTCTCTCCTCTCTACCTCTTTTTACACTTCTTCTCTGACCGACAAATTGTCACACTTTCTCTCAATTACACAAGAAGCGATATACACAGGCATTGTTGTACGTTTTGGGGGCAGCCGTAAAGATATTTTTGGCTGTGCATTAAAATTGCTAGAAAATGTGTCAGGAAACACACACACATGCAATGAACAGTGTAGAAAGCGAAGTGAAACTCGGCCATTTTGTTTGCTGTTTCTCAGAGAAAAGAAAAGTTTAAAAAAAATGATTGATTAACAATTAAAAAAAATAATTTTTTTTTGTTACTATTTGTTTCCTTTAAATTTTTGGTTTAATTATCATTTTAATTTTTGTATCCCTATTTTTTACATACATTTATTTTTTATCTGTGGTTAAAAATTAATTTGTTACTTTGATAAAAAAGCGGTCCCAATTGGAATGTGGTAACGTATGCGTTGATGCCGCGTTCAGACTTAACGAAGTTGTTCAAAGAAACGAAGTTTTTTCTAATTAAACAAATAAATGAAATAAACTAAAAATAATTTTATTTAACGGTAAAAAATGAACTTATTAGAACCAATGCAGAACTTACAACACAGAAACCAGAAATAATTTTATTTAATCCTTAAAAGTTAATTTAAATTATTTATTAGAATTATGGCGTCAGGCGTCACATGGTAAATTTCGTGTTATTTGTAAGTTTCATTTTTTAGTGTGAAATAAAATTGTTTCTTGTTGATTTCTAGTTGATTTCTTTTTATTTCTTTAATTAATTTAAATTAAAAAATGTTATTTTTCATTCTTTTAAATTTAAATTCAAAGTCTCGACATGACGTCACCATTTCCTTCTTGAAACCGCTTCTTTATGAAAGTACCGTTAAGTTTTTCATTCTTTCTTATTTTTTGGTCTTTTTATTTTTTCACTGTTTTCTTTTTTTTCTTTCTCTACATTTCCCCTATTTTCTTTTCCTTTCTCATTCTTTTTTTTTCTCTACTTCGTATCTTTCTCTTTCTTTCACCTGAAAACTTGTTAAATTTTACCTTAGTGATATAACTTTCGATTGAAAATTCTTATTTTTCATTTCAAACTTTTTATCACTGGTCCCAACCCACATTTATTTATTAATATACTCATCAGTAGTTGTAAGTATAAATTTCACAGTTACTTTTAGCAATAAGTTCTTCTTAATCTTTCTTTATGCTATGGTTGATCAGGCATCAAGAAGGCCATTCTTTTTGATTTACCAGATGAGCCGTGTTATTTTAAAAAGTATATTTTTTTTACGTTTATTTATCGAAATTCACCTAAATTACTAAGGCTACCATACAATATATTTTATTTAATTTCAAGAAAGATTTTTAACTAACACGTACTGACAACAAAATATAGACCTAAAAATCCCAAAGGAAGCAATAAACAAAAAATCTTGCAGATTATTAGAGAATTCTTGTCATCAATTTTCGTTTTTAGGTTTTGTCAACGTCTGGTATAATCACTGAAATTTTAAATTTCTGCCAATTTTTAAAAAAAAAAAAAAATTACAAATTTACGCACAAGTTTAGTTTTCCAGAGTGAATAGTTTAAGCATTAAAAAAAAAAACATTGTAAGATCAAGTTACCAAATTTGCAAGTTCATAAAAGGGCGGGGAATGTACTTTTTTTGCCAATGTCAAGTTTGTCTTTGAAAACAAATGACATATTTGGTTTTAAAAAATATGCAGTAATAATGCTATATAAGGTCATTTTTAGAAATTGGTTTGTTTGGGTTATTCATATAGCAGACGAAACATTATTTTTCATATTGAAAAAAAAAAACAATGACGCATTTCATTCTAAGAAACAACGTCTTCAGGCTAATAATAACGTTTTTATTTATTGTATTAGTCTTTAAGTGGCGGCAATTTTGTTTTCCACTTTTAATTAGACTGATTTATTCCGAAGAAGTGCCGTTTCGGAATGAAACACGCCACTAACAAATAGCACTTTTCTAAATAATGATTGCCTTCTAAACCACTGACATTATCTTTCTTCCTGATTTTCAATGAATTCCTGTGTCAAATCTTTAGCAGTGCATTTACAAAAATCATGAAAAAAGGGATTGTCAGTGGTCAGGAATAAAGACAATCATTACTGATAGAAGGGCTGTTATATGCAGAATGTAATTTACATTCTGCATCTAATAGTCCCGTTCTAATGATTGACCATGGACAATTCCTTTCTTCTTGATTTTTAAAGTAAAAATTATATTATTATTATTTGTCACACAATCACAATTACAAGCCCATGAGGGTCGTTGGGGCACTCCAAGTACTGCAGTCATAACAGCAGTGGTATGTTTTGAATTCAGTTTTCCTTCTCCTAGACAGGTTGCCAACCAAGGTTATAGGCTCCAGTCTGTCTTGCTATTTACCCTTATCTAGGTTGAGAAGATATGGTTTCATATCTTTTCAAAAGGTATTTGTGTGTTAGTGAATGTAATCAACTGGAATTTGAACTCCACTCTGATTTCTCATTCTGAGCTGCTATCCATTACACCAACTGCATATCCACACATCCATAAAATGTTTAAATTCTAGTAATACTTGCATTAATTCCTGACCACTGATAATCCCTTCTTTCTTGATATTTAATTCACAATATATAGATTGAGTACTAAAACTAAGTTGTTTTTCCTTTCTCGAGAATTTCTAGAAATGATTACAACAAAATAAAGAAATGATGAAATAATGGTAAAGTCAGTGGGCACTGATGACATCCTAACCCTTGTTTGTATATATCGGCTTCAAATACAGTTGATGCTTAAATATAATTTGGTTGTGTCATATTTTATCCTCCTGTAAAAAGTTATAATATGTAATGATTAATGATAATTTTACGATACACTTTTAGTCTTCCTCCTTTTTATTTGTCCTGTGTAATCATGGGTCTTCACAAAATTTTTATTCCTTGTAATTCTTAACAATGTTTGTCTTATTGCTATCTCTTCTAATCTATGTTCTGTCAACACAAGCTTTTTATTCACTGCTTTCCTTTGTCCTACTTGCCTTCAATATGTCCTGTGCGTATCAAATTTTCTAAACCCTCTTTCCTCATGTGCTCTAGAAATGTCACTTGTCTCTTTCTGATGTTAAATATAAGTGTCCTTTTTATTTCCATTTTCCTTAAAACTTTGTTCACATGTTCAGTACATGGAAACTGCTATCTTAATGGGTCAGATACCTAAGAAATAAGAATGTTAAAATTCTTGTGAGTATCAAATTTTTCAAGCCCTCTTTCCTCATTATATGGCCTAGAAATTTCAATTATCTCTTTTTGATTCTAAGTATAATGCTCTTTTCTGATTCCATTTTCTCTAAAACTTTGTCATTACTAAATATATTTGGTTCTTGCTGTTCTTATCATCCTTCTGTAGAACCTCATTTCTCTTGCTTCAAGTCTCTTCTCCATCTATGAGGAGATTGTCCAGCATTCATTGCCATCTAGGAGGACTGACTTTACATAACAGTCCAGTAGATTTTTCTTTGTTTCTAATGAAATTCTTCTGTTTCTTAATACTTTGCTTAGCTTTTAGAAAGCATTCCAATCTTTGGATTTCAGTCTCACTTGTTTTTCCGCTCTGTAGAAAAAACACTAGATATTTAAATTTTTGCACTTGCTTGACATAGTTTGCATCTTGGGCTGTTCCTTTAGCTTCTTACAATTGATGTTTAGTCTTTCCTTCTTACTTTCCTTCACTACCTTCTGGAGTACCTATAGTTTCTGTTTCTTGTCTGTGATTAACAGTGTCATCTGCATATATTACAGTGTAACCCGGATATATTTTCTCTGGTTCCAAATTAGAGCCTGTGTTACCTAAACAAAATAGACCAAACCCGGATATAAGAGACTTCTTCTCTGGTCCCGACAACTCTCTTATATCCGGGTTACACTGTACGTCAATAATGAATCCTGGTAGGACTTCTAATTCTCTCAGGATTGTCTCACTATAAAAGTTTAGTGCATTTTATTGTTTATTATTTCAAGAAAATGAATCCTCTATGTTTTAAAAGCAACCCTTCATCAGATCTTAAACTGGCACTGCAGAAAGGTCTTTACCAAATAGCATATCATTTGAAGACTTCCTACAGCAGCAACAACTAAAATGGGTAACACATGTAACTTGAAGAGAAAATGATGATAAAATGAAAATGTTGACCTTATACCATACCTAAAACAAAAGGTTAGGAAGGAAACCTCCATTAATACTAGAAAGAGCAATAACAATTAGTGGACTTGAGAAGCCTATTTTCCAGAAATAGCTTTTTAAAAAGATTTTTAAGATGCTGTTTGGTTAATGAATGTCAAATATCAGAAAATGGCTAATTTCACCATTACCAATTATTTAATAAATTTGATATTGTACAATACTTTTTCTTTTTTTTTGACATGAAAAAAAAAATTTTAAAAGCAAAAATTGGCCACCGAGATTATTTGTCTTCTTTTATGTAGCAACTACTTTCAGAATGTGTGAGATCATGACTCTCCAAAATTTCCTGTACTTTCTTGCTCTAAGCAACCTTGCTTCCCAGTCAACTTTGATCGTCAAAAATTGAAATACAATGTCAATCATTATCTTCTGTCGTAATTCTTGTTCATTTATTGTTCTCTCTCAATTGTGTTTTCTTTTCTCATATTCTCTAACGTTCAGTAATCCCTTGTGCCTTAGTGGCTTTATTACCTTGCTTGGGGTGAAATGATTTTTTTTTTTAAAAATTCACTTCACGCTAATAGCTTTGGGAAAGGAATGAATCCATTTTTTCCCATTGGCTGTAGATTAAATAGTTGGGTAGACTAGACTCTCTAGCCTTTGGTGGCTGCTAAACTTGGAGAAGAAAAACTCTGGATTTTTCCCAGCAAGTCATGGCAATAGATAATAATAAAGAAAAGTAAACTATGGAGAGCCATGGTTGCCTACATCCGAAACAGATAAGGCATTTAAAAGAAAAAAAGCGACAGAAGCATATGTTGGCCATGTCAAGGTTGATAAAATGTACAAGAGCATTTTATTTCTTTTACCTGGGTATTAGTTATGGGAGAGTGATTTGCCAGAGTTCTCACACACCCAATCAATCATCATATAATAGGGGTGTGCAAAAGTTAGAAGCTCTCTTTTTTGGAGACAGCAGAGTGAATGCACAGTGGAAAAAAGATTTTCTACTGGAACTTTTTTCACCCACATAATATATAAGTACTTAAAAAGATATCGACATTAATATAAGAACACATACACACACACACACACACACTTGTGTCTGGGTGACTGTATATAATTTGTTAGGTGAATAAATATTTAAAAAAAAAATTTTTCTATCCAAATAATTATATATCTTTTTTTTTACAATTGCCTGTTTGTTTCTATCTATTGTCTATCTCAGTCTATCTATCTATCTATCTATCTATCTATCTATCTATCTATCTATCTCAGTTTGTTCATATGTATATATATCTGTCTCGGTCTGTTCATGTCTACCTATCTGTCTCAGTCTGTTCATGTCTATCTATCTCAGTCAGTTCATATCTTTTTTCTACCTCAGTATGTTCATATCTATCTTTCTAACTTCATTAACATCTATCTATCTATCTATCTATTCCGTCTGTCTCTGTTCACATCTATTTCTTTACCTCAGTCTATTCATATCTATCTGTCTTGGTTTGTTCATATGTCTGTTTCGATCTGTTCATATCTGTCTATCAATCTTGGACTGTTCATATATATCTATCTCAGACTGTTCGTATGTACCTATCTGTCTATTTCGGACTGTTCGTATCTACCTATCTATCTATCTCGGACTGTTCGTATCTACCTATCTATCTATCTCGGACTGTTCGTATCTACCTATCTATCTCTCTCGGACTGTTCGTATGTATCTATCTCTCTCGCACTGTTCATATGTATCTATCTATCTCTCTCGCACTGTTCATATGTATCTATCTATCTCTCTCGGACTGTTCGTATGTATCTATCTATATCTCTCGGACTGTTCGTATCTATCTATCTATCTATCTCGGACTGTTCAGATTCATCTATCTATCTATCTCGGACTGTTCGATCCATCTATCTATCTCGGACTGTTCAGTGATTCATCTATCTATCTCGGACTGTTCAGATTATCATCTATCTATCTATCTATCTATCTATCTATCTATCTCGGACTATTATCTATATTCATCTATCTATCTATCTATCTATCTATCTCGGACTGTTCAGATTCATCTATCTATCTATCTATCTATCTATCTATCTATCTATCTATCTATCTATCTCGGACTGTTCGTATCTATCTATCTATCTATCTATCTATCTCGGACTGTTCGTATCTATCTATCTATCTATCTATCTATCTATCTATCTATCTATCTATCTATCTCGGACTGTTCGTATCTATCTATCTATCTATCTATCTATCTAACTATCTATCTCGGACTGTTTGTATCTAACTATCTATCTCGGACTGTTTGTATCTATCTATCTATCTCGGACTGTTCGTATCTATCTATCTATCTATCTATCTCGGACTGTTCGTATCTATCTATCTATCTATCTCGGACTGTTCGTATCTATCTATCTATCTATCTCGGACTGTTCGTATCTATCTATCTTGGACTTCATATCTATCTATCTATCTATCTTGGACTTCGTATCTATCTATCTATCTATCTATCTTGGACTGTTCATATCTATCTATCTATCTATCTATCTATCTATCTATCTTGGACTGTTCATATCTATCTATCTATCTATCTATCTATCTATCTATCTATCTAGGACTGTTCATATCTATCTATCTATCTTGGACTGTTCATATGTATGTATCTGTCTATCTTGGTCTGTTTATATCTATCTGTCCAACTTCATTAACATCTATCTATCTATCCCATCTATCTCTGTTTGTTCATATGTATTTCTCTGTCTCTGTTCATAGCTGTCTATCAATCTCGGCCTGTTCATATCTGTCTCTCTATATATCTCAGCCTGTTGACGTCTATCTTGGTCTGTTCATATCTATCTATCTATCTGTTTGTTCATATCTATTTATCTATTTACTTGTTTATATCTATCTATCCATATCAATCTATCATTTCATATTTATTGATCTATCTATCTCGACCTCTTCATACCTATCTATCTTAGCTTGTTTATATCTATCTTTCTAACTCTGTTAACATCTATCTGTCTCTATCTATCCTATCTATATCGGTTTACATCTATCTTCACATCTCTTTTCACATCTATCTATCTGTGTTTATATTTATCTATCTACTTTTGTTTTCATCTATCTATATCTGTCTGTTCATATCTATCTACCTTTGTGTCACATCTTGGTCTGTTCTCATTTATCCCTGTTTTATGACTAATCATATAACCTTTTTTTTTTTTTTCGTCAAGCATATTATGCTCTTAATATTTCTCTTTATTTATGTGTAAAAGAAAATTGCTGAGAAGACAAAATCTTAAAACCTAAAATGATGAGTAATCTTTATAGATTTTATTTCTCTATCCAAATTTTATAGGTGAGGTGAAAAAGTGAATTCAACAACAAAATTTTCCTAGCAATTAATGATTCTCCAATCGAAGCAGTTCTTTACAAACCCAATTTGAATTTTGTCTCCCTTAAGAATGTCTCCTTAGAAAACATTAGCATCATGTTTTATTTTCTTCACTGTATCTTTCCACATCGAAACACTAAAAATAAATGTAGAAATTTATTTTCTTTTGGTATACACTTGATAATATTTGTCTATAATTGGTGTTATTGAATTTACAAGTGGTTTTTGTTGCTTCTGCCCTGTGTCCTCTCTTTAATAGGTTTTTGTTTTTGGTTTCTCACTGAGAATAGCAACCATAAGTATAGAAAGTTTAAAAATAAACCCTTCTCGTCTACTTGAGACTATGTGGACTGCCGATTTGTCTGGCCAGTATTGATAACTTTACTCACCCAGAACACAGCAAAAATTGATACTTTCTGGAAATATTGCCCAAAATTTGAAAGTCAGAGGCTGGGTGAGAAGAGGCTGGAGTATGAGAAGGAGAAATTGGAAAGGAACTGCCGATTCTCTTTTTCCTTGCAACTGATTCTTCATCATGATTTCTTTCTTTCCCACAGTTGCAGTAATTTTATGTTTGGTTAAATGAGAGTTGAACTGAAAAGTTCTCAGCCTGACCCACTTCCCAAGATCTGATAAAATGAAGAAATGTCAGCATTTTCTTATTTTTTTTCTTTTTTTAATTTCTTAGTCAGCCCAAGAATTTTCCTGTTCTCCCTTGTGTGTGTGTGTGTGTTGGTGTGTAATTTCTAAGGAGTTTGTGCAGTTCATCTATAGTCTGACATTATTTCATATTATGTACTTAAACTCCAAAATTTTTTCTTTTACTTATTTTTTTCTCTTATTTTTTTTGTTCTTTTATTGTTTTTCTCTTTTTGTTTTCCTCTCATTCATATATATATATATATATATATATATATATATATATATATATATTTGTTTTCAATAAGAGTAGATAGATTTACCTATCATCCAGTTCACAGTCCTTTCTTATCTCTCTCTATTGAACAAGAGTAGAGGTTTATTCCTTGTTTTCTGTTTAGTATTGGGTTTCCAGTTTCTAAGTCTTTTCATTCTCTTTCACTCCCAGTAACTCTAAGCATCTTAGTGGCATTATCAGCTTGCTTGAGGTGAAATTACAAAAAAAAACTTTAAATGTAATATTTTGAGGATACTTGTGTTTGAGTAAAAAAAAATAAGGGGATGTCTACTCCAATACATGTATCCACTAAATATATTGTTTTAAGTAATAATAAATAAATAATATGTGAGTGTATTTTAAACAGGTTTTGTTAGATTCACCTGACAAGGTCTGTCTGTTTAATCTCTACCTTAGTTAAATGAATACAAAACCCAAAGTTGAGAAGCAAAGTGTTTTTTGAGTGAGATTGTTGTAAAGAAGGGAGGAAAGTAAAAAGTGAATATTATGAAGATATGTAGTATAGATATTGGTTGACCCTGGACTTGAAAAATTTAAGATTGTAGTGGTCATGGAAGCATTCTCTCGGGAGTCTGTTCCACAAAATAACAGTTCTTGGGAGGAAGCTTCCTGAGTGAATCTTACTTCTTACTAAAGGAACATGAAGGGAATATTTTTACAATTTTCATGTATTGTACATATGAATCAGTATTATTGATAAAGAGTTTGTGTTCTTTTTAGTTTTTGTACAACTATTTTTTGGGAACCATTTTACACATGATGTCAGTTAGAGGATACATGTGTATTTGAATTTGAAATGTAGTGTTCCACATATATGCCAGGATGTATCCAACAGAATCTTGTCTACTACAATGGCAATAACCAGTTCTTTATAATAACTGATCAAAAACAGAACAAAAACACATTATTCATGACACCCAGCATGATGATACATAGATAATGGGAACTTATATGAATGCCTACACGAAGGTCAGACAGAGCTTCATGTTATTCCTGTTGGCCAATTTAAAGAATTTGGCCATCTTAGGTTCGTATTTAATTCCACGAGCATGATGATTTTATTTTCTGTGTCAGAATCAAAGCTGCCATCTTAATAGTTCTGATATGTTTGAAAGAGAAATAAGAATGTTAAAATCCCTGTGAGTATCATATTTTCCAAACCCTCTTTCCTTCTTATGTGACCTAGAGTTAGAAAGAGATAGTTGAAATTTCTAAGTATAAGGGTCCTTTTTGTATCCATTTTCTCTAAAACTTTGTTGTTGCTCACATTTGGTCCATGACATTCTCAGCATTCTTCTGTAGAACCACATTTCTGTGGCTTCAAGTATCTTCATCTCTGAGAAGATTTTCCAGCATTTACTGCCATATAGAAGGATTGATATTGCATAACAGTTCAGTAATCTTTTTGTTTCTAATAAAATTTTTCTGTTTCTTAATACTTTGCTTAGTTTTTGAAAGGCATCTTTCACTATCCCAATATGGCTTTGAATTTCAGTGTCACACTTTCTGTCTTCTGTTAAAACACTTCTGAGATATTTAAATTGTTGGACTTGTTTGATTTCAGTATCTTAAATTTGTAATTTGCATGATGGATGGTTTTGAAATTTAAGAAAACTTTAATGTATTTTTTTTCTATTATAGCTGAAATTTAATATACAGTTTATTTTTGTTTTTTTTTTAATTATGGCTTGAGGTATATATCATGTTCTTTTACATCAGGGTTTCTCAACCAGGGGGGAATTCCCCAGTTTCAGTAGGGGAGGGGAAAATCTTTACTTTTTCATCATTTTCTCATTGATTGTAATTTTCATCAAAATAAAATTTATTTAAATACTCTGACCTTTTATTGAATTACAATACCCTGACATTGAACATTTGGTTTATTAAAGTTTGCTTAAGTTTGCTTATTTAATAATTAGATATGAATTAAAACAAATTACTCCTCTCTCCAGCTATGGGTTAAATAGTAGAACTTGTATCTGGAAAAAAATCATTATTATTCTCAAAAAATTGTTCATGTAATATTCACTCACAAAAAAACAAAACAAAACCAGAATCTTAAAATCCAAAAGGTGTTTTTACATTCTTGTGGGTTATCTGTTACCACTTTTTAAATTAATTTTCCAATTTTTTCACAAATACAGATCTGTAAAAATATACTATCTGAAAGATTCATTTAGCAGTCTAAAACAAAGAGAAAAAAAACAATTAAAAAACAATTAAAAATATTTTAAATAGCACATCTAATTGTATAAAATATCACCAATATGTATGTAAATTAAGAGGTGATAACAGATAACCCACAGGAATAGCATTTTAAAAAGTGGCGACAAATAACCCACAAGTACCTAATTTTGTTTTAAATAACCCACAAAGGGTTGATAAGCTGTAAAAAAAACAAATCAATGAATCAATAATTATTAACTACATAGCTTGGAAATTCTAAATACTTATGTTTCTACATTCTTTATAAAATAAGGTCTAATTACATTTCTTTTGATAGCTATCTTAATTAAGGAGAAAAGAATTTAGATAATTTTTAATATAAACTTGTGCTTAAAGTTTAACCATTAGAATTTATTAAGACATCAAAGACGATGGTTTATTATTGTCATTTAGTAATAGTTAAGGTGGAAGTTAAAAATACTTTCAAAATCCTTGTACCACTGTTTTCTTTAATCCTTGTGTGACACTGTTTTTTTAATCCTTTTGACACTATCTGTTTTTTTAATCCTTGTGACAACATCTGTTTTACTTTAATCCTTGTGACACCATCTGTTTATTCTTTTAACCATAATAAGTTTTTTCTGTCCAACCTGATCCTATTAATCTAGTGTCACAACTGATTTTCTATTCAAAATTCTCAGCAGTCAGATTATATCACTGTCAAAATTGGTTGTCATTATTTTTTGTTTGCTGCTGACAATTTATCTTTGTGATGGGAAGAATAAAAGGTTTTTTTTTTTTTTTTTGTGCTTTAAGTTTTCTGTTTTTGTTTGATCTTTTTTTTTTCCCTCTTTTGTTTTACCGATTTTTCCCTTTTGTTTTTCCAGACACTGTAATACATCAAAGTATAAATGAAAGAGATAATATGTTAGAGGACCGAAAACCATTTGGTGAGTAAAAATTACTTATTGCTTGGCATCTATGTTTAAAATAAAAAACTTTCTTGTACCCATTCTTTCTACTGACCTTTGTTAAGGGTAGGGTTTGTGGCTCATCTGGTAAGCTAGTGAATGTGACATGATCACAGAACTGTAATATACAAATGTGAGGAGGGT